TGGGAGAGCTGAAAAGTGATTCGTAGGGTGTGGTTGAGTGTAGTTCTTTTAAAATCAGGTGAAAACCAGGCATCGTGGGGTCCCATGTTTATCTCTCACAATGTGCTCAATTTACAAGACAAAGATGTTTTTTTCCAGCTGCCAGCCCTGAAAACTCAGCATGGACCCAGCAGGAAGCGGAGTTCTTTCTTTCTCATGCACAACTACCAATCAAGATTTAGCATGCTGGTGTCACACCCAAAGCGTTTTACGCCTGTGCAAACCCAGCAGTTTTCTGGAGGTTATGTGTGAGGAAAAGGGAACCCAGCCTTCATACACACCGTGAGTGCCGAACTGTTAGAAAAACTTCTCTTACTGAGCGAGTTTCATCAGGAATCAGTGAGACATAAACATTGAACCCAGGATGCCATTTTTATAAAGTGACTTTCAGAATAGAACTCAACACGAGAAAAAGGCAGGGGAACTGCTTGCAACATCTTAGGATACTGATGTGTCAGCAGAGTACTGTGGTAAAAAGAAGATTTAGTAGATAGACAACAGCTACTTACCCTTAAAAAATGCAACATGAGTTAGGCCCAAGATACATTTTAGGAATCAGTGTTTTTGACGTGCGTTGGAGACGATAGCTGATGGAAATATTTCGTACTTAACTATTAAATAAAGTATTATTTTGCCTTTTTTTTTAAAAAAAACCCACTATGCTAAGAATGGAGCTTGGGACTGAAAAAAACAGGGTAATACCAATGGATCCCAAAAAACCTAACTGAGGACTTTGCTTGTGAGAGGCTGCTCACTATTATGAGTTTCGTCTCTGGGGAGGGAGGTGCTGAATTCCTGCCAGCGCAGTCACAAAATGGATAGGTCTGCCAATGCTTTCTGGATAGCAATAAGGTATATCAGAAGAATATCAAAGACAGAATTAAAAATAGGACTATGCACCAAAACCCTGGGAAATACAGTTTGTCTGCAAGAAAGTACGCTCCCTGTCCAGCACACCAACCACTAGATGTCACTATAACATCAGTGGAGTAACCCTATTAAACTGGGGACAGCTTGATTTATTGCAGCTGTCAGTATTAATAGGAAGGCATTCTTCCCCCAAACAAATAATACCAGCTTTGTGTTTGATACAGTGCCTTCAATTAAAGCCACCCAAACTACATACCGTGTGTCTGATTCTCCTCATACATGAACTGCTGGGAGTCAGGTGCAACTCCTCAGACTTCAACCAAGTTATACGGATATAAAACAAGTGTGAGAGGAAAGTCGGTCCCTGTATTTTGATATGTTCTCACAAATCTAACATGAAAGCTAGAAAGGTGTGAGCATATGTGTGTGTGTAAATATCACACACACAACTCCATATTGACTGAAATTCCAGAGTAATTGAATGTGATGTATCTTATTTTTAAGTGAAATATCAGGTATGTTAACTTGGCTTTGAAGTAACGTGCTTTTCTCCCATTGAGCTTACTCACTCTTCTTTTCCTCCTCTTTTACCACATGTCCCTTCATAAATAATAATTTGTGGTTCAACGGGCAGCCTAAGCAAGGAGGGGGAAGTTTTAAGAATGCATGCTTCAAAAAGGGAGACTATGCTCCATTTAATGCACTCAGCTTCCAAGAGGAGAACTCTATCTTCTGACAAGTGCACCAAAATCAAGAGAAAAGCATGTCCTAAAGTCTTTGCACGCGCGCACCCTCCCCCCCCGCATTTACTCTTTTATAGATACCAAATGAGTCAGGCTGAACCCATATGTCCTTTCATTGTATACGTTGATATGTATTTCTCTCTGCATCTTCCAGTCAGGTGTGGTACAGCTCCATTTAAAACTACCCCACAAGCAGGCCCTATTGCTTATGCAGCAAACTGAAGAGAGCACTTCGTAGTCTCCAAAAGGGCTTACCTAGAATATATTTCTCCTTCGTACCCTCCTCACTTCTGAGCCTGTCAGAAGTCTGATTTAAGTCACTCTGAGTTAGAAGTATTTCTGCAAGAGAGGGTCCTATCTCCATCTATGGGTGTTCAGCAAACAGGCTAGATACTGAAAGCTCTCAGAAGCTGTTCATTCAGTTGCATTACAACTATTTCAGAACAGCTGTCTGGTGCCTACTGTGCCTGGATCTGCAGTCCTTGCACACACCCCTCCAACTTCCCTTGGCTCCACCAGGCCCACATCCTCGAAAAGGTTGCAGGACAGACCCAGTCTATGTAGGCAACTACAAATAAGACAACCCAGCCAGTGCTAGCAGTTTCTCGGCCCCAGAGAGGTGGCAAAGATCAAGCAGATTTCCTTGGTCCGTGGGCAAAAATAAAAAATAGTTTGTGGGTTTTTTTTATTTCTGTAATAACTGTGTCCTCACCTCTGGTTGCAGAGTTGGCAGGCAAAGCAGTCCAAATGGTAAACATTATCTCTGGCCCTCATCACCATCTCAAAGGCAGGGATCAGTTTACTGCAGGCAGCGCAATTCCCGGTGGTACCAAAGAGCCTGCCAAAGAAGCACAATCATTAGAAGCCATTTTAATTAAATGGTGGAAGCACTAATTAAGTGTAATTAGCAGTATCAAATACTGTATTGCACCAATAAATAGGAGTTGCAGTATCCATTTCGCTGACCAACCAGTGTGCAGGAACTTGGGATAAAACTGCCTGGTGAGCAAATGCCGATTGTCGAGATGAAACTTCACTTGGCTTGTGAGCCTTGGGCTAATTTACTATCTAATGGAGAAAAGCATTAAAGATACTTTCAGTGCTATTTTGGGGCTCACACAATTCCAGTCAAAACAAAACTATTTGCAGGGTTTTTTCTCTGAACATCTTGCTTCCTTCCCCACCCCACTCAGCACCCATTTGCTCTTCATTGTTGCCTAATGGAGGAATCCAAGCTGATGACAATGAGTGAAATGCAGACGACTCACTAACTTTGCCAACTCCGGCAGGCAAAGCTGCCACTGGAGAAAAGTCTAACTTACCTCCTGTTTTAAAGGAACACACGCTTATCTAAAGACACTTGGCAATAATGTTTTACAAAGCCACTTTATAAATTTTGCTAAGACCTCCACCCTCCTCGACCTTCCTGGGAGGCTTTTTACACCAAGGCACAAACAGTACATTCAACAGTTCACTTCAGCTCCCCAGTCCTTGAGGACAGCCCTTCTGCACTGGAAGCTTTGTCACTTTTGTCATGGCTTTTGCTATCTCTCTTCCCAGATGTCTGCTGCTCTTACAGCTCCCACAGGGAGACTAACCAAGAGCTACGGCATCATCCCCCCAGCCCTTGGACAAGTCCCTGAAGACCCATGAGCCAGTGCCACTCCCTGGGGACACGCACCACAGCACTTCTAAATTAGAGCTATAGGAACCAGTTGCATGCAACGAACCAAAGATTTCAATCTTAAACTGCAAATAGTCAATATACACTTAGTTACTTTCTGTTTAAGAGAATGCATGTGATTTAATTGTTCTCAGAGCACCTTCTTCCTGCTGATTGTTAGTTTGGCGTGCATGTAAACATGCACACGTGTGTACATCCCCCTAAACATATATGGGGCCTAAAGTCTGTTTCAATTCTTTGGAGTTGGATCTTGCTAATGCCAGTACTTACTGGTTCCACCAATACAAAAAGACAAAAAAGAATAGAGAGAACCGCTTGCAGCCTGGCAGAGGAACACCTATGTCTGATTTCTCAGCCTACAATTTGCTGAACAAATCAATGCTACTGATCACTGGACAGTAATCACTGAAGTGTGATAAGATCCTCAAGATAACCCTTCTGCTTTCAGGCTCCTGAGCTATCATGTTAGCTTGTTTTGGGCATATAAAAAGTCTTACTTCCTGTGTCAGATGTTACAAGAGACACCCTTTACTTTTCTGTTATTCTTGGCTTGAAGGCCACTGGACTGTTTTCGGTGGGAGGAGACTAGACATTTGTGTATGACACTTTACAAAAAAAAAAAGTCTATGGTACAATGGGCCAGATAAAAATAGTACCAGAGACACAGCAATATAAGATCTAAATACTCTTGCCCTCAGACTTCACCACATTAGGGCTGGAAAGCCTGTACCGCAATAGACCGAGCAAAATGGCAAAGAGTCTTACAAACAAACGGCAACATATTCAGCAAGGGCAGGATGGTGGCCTACTCTTATGATAGCAGGCGAGCCAGGCCTTCACTTTCCTGCATGGGCTCCCTGCATCATGGATTAGTGCAGGAGAGAGAGTAGCCTTCAGAGGACTGCTGCTTCCAGTCCTACACAGGTGGTCAGGGACACTGCAAGAAAGGGCGTGTCATATTACGGACCAGTAGCAGACCGGAGGCAAGGGTGGTGGTGCCAGCAGTGGCGGCAGAAGCTCACAGTTCCCTCCCTGGAATGCTCCTGGGCCAGCAAAGCTACAATGCCCCTCGTTCTGGATGGGGTGCCAATTTATAATATAGCCCCAAATTTGTATTTTCTGATTCATAGTCATTTTACTTGGCAAAACAGAAGTGTCTCTATCAGTCCTTGGTGTAACCGTCTTCCATCATATAACTAGAACACCCTTAGTACAGTAGCAGCCGTCATTAGTTTCAATTTCTCTATTTGATAGAGAACTAGCAGATTAGGAGAACAATGATGTCTGCATTTTTAGAATATCCAAATCACAGCAAACATTAAAAAAAATCACTTAAAAATAAAAAATACAAATAAAACCCAAGCAAAGCAGCCCAATACATTAGGTAAGGAGAACAGTGGAAGTTAATTCTAAATTTGTTCTGTGCACGATGCCACTATTCTTGTGAGCGTAAAATATCCATTATTCATTAGCATCACAGTTGTGTGGAGCTCAATCTAGATTAAATAAAATAAGCGGCCCCAGACAGAGTTATTTGCATTGTTAAACAGGCAGTTTTCTTCACCCTTCAAATAGGATACTTCTCTACATGGAAATGATGGGGAAGTTTGGACAGATGTTCACTTAACTATTCAAACAGTTAAAGAAACATGAAGATTGTATTTGGCACTGGATTCACCTGTCTCTTTTCAGGGGTGGGGTGGGGGGTAAACCAAGTGTTAAATAACTTTGAATGTTTGCATAAGAGCTGCAGTTTATGTTTTGACCAGCTGAAATTATGTTGCCTTTTAATGTCTACATAAATGTAGCTCCCAGTTTTTCAGTGTGCTAATCTTGTTTTCTTCCATTAAGTTTCAGACAGCCCCCACCTCCCTTCCCTAACATATGAACATTTCACACACATTATAGCACTTTCTAATTTTAATCACTTCTCAGGGAACGATTTAAAGCTCTATATAGTCACTAAAATTCTCGAGTATGCCTGACTTGTAGCTCAAAGTTCACAGGCTTTTTGCTGTTGGAGGAAGTGCAGATTGAGGCAAAGAAGAGACATTCTTCAACTAAGAATTTGGTCTTTGTTTTTTGGCATGTCCAGCTGTCATGCTCCATACCTCCTCACTTGGAGATCACACGAGGAGCAGTTTGGGTTTTTGTTTTTTTAATTTTGGGGGAGAACTCCCTTTCATCATCAATACATCCCATGGTTTAGTTTAAAAAGAAGCCACAAAAAAAAGGAAACACATACTCCATCCTCTGGATGCATTCTCCATAGCAAATCCCATCTTGTCTGTCCACCCCCCCCCCCCCACCACACACACCCAGAAAACTCAAGCATACCAGGGAAATATACCATAAGATCCTCAATATTCTCACTGGCATGACGCCAGTGGGGGTGGGGATGGGGTGGGGTGGGGAGGAAATGAGACAAGGAAGGTTTTTAACCTCTTTTTGAAACTCTCTTAAAAGTTAGAAGACAGCAATTTTTAAGTACAGATTTATTCTCTCTTATGTAACAGAAGGACCTCACCAGCTTGTAAATAAGCTTAGACTATGCAGATTTAAAATTTAACACAATTAAACTTTTACCCTGTGGTAGTAATTATGCTTAATGGCTCTTACTCTGAACTTAACCATGTCTATTGTCGTCAGCCAATCTGAAAGCAGGAATTTAGCCAAGGACAATTTTCTGTAGTTTATAGGCACACTAAAATCCAGCTATTCTATATTCCGATTAGCTGTTGATGTCATTGTGTATAGTAAAAATTAAAGCTAATTGGCACATAGGAGCAGCAGTGAATACGAATGAATTGAGGGGCAAGCGGGTAGCACTCTGTGGAAGTGCTATGTAACTGTTGGGAGGCTTCTTTTTATTTAAAGACTTAGCTGCTTGTAACAGTAATCTTCTGTACAACATTTTGGAATTCAGCAATGCTGTGAAGGTACTTTAAACTGACTAAATGTACAGTAGGGGCATAATTACCCAGAGTTTACCTTTTCTTTAGGGTATGAGTGAGGGGCTTATACTGGCGAGTATGTGAAAGGGAGGGACTTGTCTAAAAGTGACCATCTTCCCCATCATTTTAAACACATTCTATATTTCCAACTTACATTCATCACTCGTGAATGAACATTAGATTTGTACCCTTTCCATGAATCTTCCTTCTCGCCCCACTCACATTCATTTATGGTCTAAGCTATATGATAATCTGCACATCTGTTTCATTATCTCTAAACCTACAAACAATATCTACAAATGGATTTCTAAATACCTAGCAATACCAAGATTGCCCTCCATCCTGGTATCTGCAAACCGGCAGCAAGTCAGTCAGGGGCCAGAAAATTCTCCTATGAAAAGGGACTGAAAAGATTGGGGGCATCTCACTTTAGAAAAGAGATGGTTAAGAGGGGATATAAGTGTATATAAAGCATAGAATGGGATAGAGAAGGTACATTGGGAGCTTTCATTCTCCCTGCTGTATAATATGAGAAACAAGGAGGACATTCAGTGAAGTTAAAGAGGCAGCAAGTTCAAGGACACTTTTTCCACACAAAACATAATCAGATGGTGATAATTATTGTCACAGGACTGTTGAGGCCACAAATTTAGCAACATTCAAGAAGGGACTGGACATTTATATGGATACCAAGAATATCCAGAGTTATAATAGTTAACACAAGCAGATTTTAGAAGAGAGTAAACCTCATACTTAAACCAATCACTAATTACTAGGGATTAAGTGGTTTCAGTATGAGGAGACCATTGCCTACCATGCTAACCAATATGGTCTCATTTTTAACTTGTACTCCTCTAGCTGCTCTGTAACCATCTGCTATTATGTTATATTTAGATTGTCATCTCTTTGGGGCAGAGACCGTCTTTGTTCTTGCTTGTACAGCGCCTAGCACAACAGGGTCTATGATTAGGGCGCCTTGGCACTTCTACAATACAAGTGGTGATAATCGTTATAATAAAATTCTTGCACCTTCCTCCAAAGTATCTCATGCTGCTGCTGTCTGAGACTGGATACTGGTTTAGATACACCCTGGGTCTGATCCAGCGTGGAAGTTCCTATGTCCATTTCTCGTACCTTGAATTCATAGTCATGAGAAAGAGCCCTGTTCCTACCAGTTCAAAACCTTCCAGCAAGTTGGAC